AAGAATCCAATCCAAAGGTTTTGGACCTTTTTACACATTACCAGTTACAAGATTTTTATTTGTGGCAGCTCTTCTTGCCAATTAATTTTACGATTTTTAGCACCTTTCTACACATTACCTGTTACAAAAATTTTAGCAAGCTAGTAAAATTCAAAGATGCAACTTCATAACATCCTCAATTTTGGCATTACCATACAAAGGTTTTGGACCTTGAGTAGACCAAGTAGCGGTGGCTAGAGCATTTTATCAAATAGTTTTAATATAAATGTCATCAATGTCAAACTTTAATTAGGTTTGATTGGATTCATGCAGAAAATGCACTTTGAACAATTTTGGTTTACAATGTAACTTAAGAGACGAAAGAAAATGATTTTTGGTGTTTTTGATACTGCTTCTTATTATATTAAATGTTGGAAATTTCTCTACAATATGACGGGGGAGAGATTCGCCCGATTTATTAGCCGAAGGGGTTGGTTCCTTGGAATCAAAGGTGGTTGTAGAGAAGAGAGATCAAGAAGAAAAGAGAAAAAGGAGAAAAAGAGTCGAACGAGTAACATAACCGTGATTAGAAAATAAAAGAGATAAGGTGGGTGACAATGGCATCTGGGACTGGGAATATGCACGCACGTAAATACAGCACACACTTGTTGAATTTTCGTTAACTGTATTTGATTAAATGCATTATATTTGTGTTGGAATCTGGGCATATTGTATTCTAATATCAAAGATAACGCTATAAAATAAAATAAAATTGGTTAAGCCGTGACGAGATGCTTGCTGTTATATTCAAAAGTGATGTTTTAAACGTGACAATAATTATAATATTCAATTTGTTTTGTGTAGAGTGGCATGTGGAGCTTTGTTATAAAGGTCAAATTCAAAGGGTAGAGTTGAATGCTAAGAAAATAAGCATGAAAAGTCGCCACAGTAGACAACCTACCGCAACTTAAGAATTCATGTATTGAAAAGAAAAGTAGACTTTTGTGTGCATATATAGTAAACTAGATTTTGTGCATTAAAAAAACAAAAGTAAACTAGATTTTGCAGTGAATTGCATAATGCAAACAATAATCACAAAGAGACCATCGTTTAGAAGCACATTAGTGAACCATTTGAGTGGCATGTCATGTAATGTGTCAAATACCATAAGTGGAAACTTGACGTCCCATATAAAATGTTGTTACTAATGTGGTTTGAAAATGTAATACTTATGGTTATTTTTTTCGATAGAAATATTACCTATTCCCGTTTCATTGTTCCCTTCTCTTAATTTGTCTAATCAGGTCGAGAAACGAATAATGTAACGGCAATATGAAAAATTTTCTACGGGGATTGGGCCTCGCAAAATCTCAAGTTGAAGTCCCTAAAGACACGCACATGGTGACAGAGGTGACACGACATAGGCCGGCGAATCAGATTAGTTGCTGAGGGCGGGCGGGTAGGAAGCTTCTCTGAGCTTGCCACCAACTCCAACTCAGTGACTAATCATCAACTGTCAAACTGGCTGGCTGGACTGGATTTTTACCAGAACAGTAAGCAAGCACCACACCACACCACTTGCTCTTCTCCACCTTCCCCTTCCCTGTCCCTCCTTCCCTTCGCCTTGCTCCAATTATTATGCCCTCGATCCAAACACCCCCTTATGAAACCCTAACCATCCCAACCCCAATGTCCTCTCTCCTCTTTCTCCTTCTCCTCCTCCTACTTTCCTCCTCACCTCCTCCAACTCTCTCCCAGCAAAACGACACCGTCGCATGCCCCCTCAACTTCACCGTCCTCCGCCGGTTCGACCCCGCCTCCAACCGCCCCAAATTCGACCGCAACACCGAGTGCCAGTACATCCTCCAAGGCCTCCGGCTCGTCGAAGCACAGTACCTCCAGCTCACCGGCTTCTTCCTCCCCCCACCCAACGCCTCCGAGTCCTGCTGGGCCGCCTACCAAGCACTAGCCTCCGAGTTCGTCCCCAATTTCGACATTCGCTCCTCCTGCGGCTTCGAGACCAGCTGGATTTCGCAGGGCTGCATGAACATCACCACCAGGCAGCAATTCGAAGCCCTGGTCGGAAACGCAACGCTTAAGGACGTCGTCGACAACTGTAACCAGTCTCTCGAGAACAGCTCGCCCTGTGCCTCTTGCACCACCAGCTTGTCCAGCTTGCAAGCCTCGTATTTGACCGGCAAGTCCGTCGGGAACGTCTCCACTTGCACGGCGTACCCGTCGGTGTATGCGGCGGCTTTCGCCAATCAGTATGGGCCGGCTGATGCCGGCACCGCCGAGTGCCTGTTCGCGCTCAATTTCTCGACGCAGGGCTCCGGTAAGAAGAAAAGGACTGTTATTTTGATTTCTTTGGTTGCTTGTGGTGTTGCGTTGTTGGTTATAATTGGCGGGGTTTGGTTCTTGTGGCATAAATATGACCAATTTATGATCAAGAAGAGGAGAAAGGATTATAATGATAAAATTGAGAAGGGTTTGGGTTCTGCCTTAGAGTCAATTAGTGGAAGCACTACTTTGATTAAGTTTAAATACGAAGAGATTAGTGCCGCAACTAAGAATTTCTCTAGGGACAACATAATTGGACGAGGAGGCTATGGGAATGTGTACAAGGGCATTTTGGATGATGGCTCTGAAGTTGCATTGAAGAGGTTCAAGAATTGCTCAGCTGCTGGCGACGCGAATTTCGCTCACGAGGTTGAGGTGATTGCAAGTGTTAGGCATGTCAATCTTGTTGCTTTGAGAGGTTATTGCACTGCCACTACTCCTTTGGCGGGTCACCAGAGGATCATTGTGTGTGATTTGATGAAGAATGGAAGCCTCCATGACCATTTGTTTGGGTCTTTTGGTAGCAAGCTTAGTTGGCCAATCCGTCAAAGGATTGTGCTGGGGACTGCAAGGGGATTGGCATATTTGCATTATGGGGCTCAACCAGCTATTATCCACAGGGATATCAAAGCTAATAACATACTTTTGGATGAGGCATTTGAGGCCAAGGTGGCGGATTTTGGACTTGCAAAGTTTACAGAAGAGGGAATGACGCATATGAGCACGAGGGTGGCTGGAACGATGGGTTATGTTGCTCCCGAGTATGCATTGTATGGGCAATTGACGGAGAAAAGTGATGTGTATAGTTTTGGTGTTGTGTTTCTTGAGCTTTTGAGTGGAAAGAAAGCGCTTCATGTGACTAACGATAACCAGCCATTGCTCGTGACTGATTGGGCGTGGGCGTTGGTGCGAAATGGAAAACCCCTGGATGTTATTGATGATGATATGCCGGAGAAGGGTGCACCTGAAGTTTTAGAGAAGTATGTATTGATTGCTGTTCTTTGTTCTCACCCACAGTTGTATGCTAGGCCAACAATGGATCAGGTTGTGAAAATGTTGGAAACAGACTTGTCAGTTCCCTCAATCCCAGAAAGACCGGTTTCCATTGTGGCTAATATTGAAGACATTGAAAGACACAGCAGTAGTGGGTCACTTCAGCTCTCTAGTTCAGGTGGCTATCAGTCTTATACATTTGAAAGTCACCTCCCTTTTAACCCTAAGGGAGACAGAGAAAGTTCATTTTCCGGAGTATCAACTGTGTGATAGATTCCACTAATTGGTATGTTCACCCCCAATTTGTTTGTTGGTTCAGATTGTATGGTTTTATAATCAAATTTCCCACTGTAAATATAAAATAGATGTATGACTAAAGCTGATTCTTTATTCAAGTGAAATAGAACAGAACACACTACACACTTTGACCGTCAGTGTCCTTTGTTACTTGAGCCCCTAAAATGGATATGGAAGCTTATTGTATCATTGAAGTTTATTGCTTTGCAAATCCAAAGATGTCAATATTGCTCGTATATCACAATATTTATCTTTGTCCAACGAGGGATGGTTATGGAAATGTGATGCCTTTTGTTGCGAAAAAATCTCGAAATTATCCTTGCCTGCTATAAGATGCGGAATTTTGTTTTTCATCCATGAGTTAGTGGTCATAGTTTCTGAGTTCAAAGTTCCTGTGAAAACATAGACTGATTGGTATATGTTGAGTAGGGCTTTTCGTAATTCAGAGGTCCTCGGAAAAAAAAAATCCGCATTTACTTGCCTTAGGTAAATGTAATGAAAGCAAAATTCAGGACAAGGTAGGTAGGTAAAGTTTCATGTGTTCTGTCATATTTTTCTAAAATTTGTTTTCATAGCTGGTACTGGGGGGTCGCCAAGTACCCACTGGTATTATTGTAATAGGAGTGAATAATTTCAAAGCTGTCAACACGACAAATCTCTTGGGACCACGGCCTATCATTTTCAATAAATTACTGGTTTGGAGATTCTTTTCCAAGTTTGATTCTGTGATCCAAGTCGACTCAAGACTGCAAATATGAGCTTATCTTATATACGGTGGATCTGGGTTTTAGCAGTCATGATCATAGATCTATAAATCTGTCATTTTATTTGAATTGAGTGCCCATCTTATTTTTTGGGTTACAGACAAATGAAGCTTTAGACAACGTGGGTGTCTGATGCCTAAGACCCAGAAGTAGAAAATTAAAAAGGGAGCTCAAATTCAAACCTAAAGAAGAGTGGTTGTTCAATAATTGAGAACTTTGTTTTAAGAAAGCGTCATTAATGTTCCGACAGGTAAAAAAGGGCATTGACTAGCAGATTAATGGTCTCAAGTTCGAATCACCATGGCACCTTTGTGGTGTGTGTGTGTGATAAACCCTAGTATCACTTGTATTCATAAAAAGAAACTGGCATTAGCGTCAAGTTTCTCTTGGTATATACTTATTTACCAAAAAATCCCCAACGGTATTGTCCTCTGCCTCTAATAATTCATCTTACATGATAAAACCCACGTCCACTCAGATTTTTCTTTTCGGCCACATTTAATATGGTAACACCAGCTAGCAGCAGAAAGAAAGGGACATAACAGCAAATATATCAATCAAATTGTCAGAACTTAGAAAGCTTGGATTTGATTATCTGCAAAATGCCTATTAAATGAACCACAAAATTAATGAAGTTCCATCTTTTGAAAGGAAGATAAAGAAAGAAAAGAAGAGATCATATGAACCTGTACTGGCAAAGCAATCACTTTGACCAGACCTACATTCGTCCTTTATCTTCTCTCTCGGATTTTAATCTGCATCCTCTTCTTATCTTCAAAGCCATAGAAGGTTTTGTGATAATTTTTCTCATTCTTCCTTCCTTCCTTCCGTGTTTACGTGAAACCCATAACTTCTTTGTTGTTTTTATTCAATCAACCAGGCACTGTCAGTGAGAACACGTAAGTGTAAGTCAACATTTAGAAGTTAGGAAAAAAGTTACTTTTGTAGAACAAATTTACATCCTTTCTCACATATTGCTCTCTCGTCTCTCCATGTCTTTTGCCAATAAGAGGATAAAGTTTTGCTGTTTCCTGTTTTCCATTATTTGATAGTTTCTTGCTTACACTATCCATCTCTTTGAATCTTCTTCACTTTGCCATTCATAAAAATTCATATAGACAGTGGGAGTTATATAATCAGGCAGACATGGCCATCAAAGAGGATGTAGAGAGTGATTTGCAGGAGGGCATAACAGATCCACTCATGAGGGTAGAGAAGAACTTGGCTGATGGAGGAAGCAGCAGAGGAGGGAATCAATGGATGGTTTACCTCAGCACATTTGTTGCAGTCTGTGGCTCTTACGAATTTGGATGCTGTGTAAGTGCTTTTTATGCATTTAGCTTTTCATTAATATAGCTGTAAAAGTTGTGATCGTTGGACAGGAAAATTCTGACACTTGTACTGCTGGCTTCCAGATCGGTTATTCGTCGCCTACCCAGTCTGCCATCAGGGAAGATCTCAGTCTTACATTAGCAGAGGTATTTATTGCAACATTTATAACTGCTCTATCAATATTTCTATCAGAGCTGTTCTTTTGGATATGCAAGTTCATGAGTGGAAATCTCTATGTGTTGTACTGGAGGACTGAGGGTTTGCATTGTCTGCTATGCCATTGCTTTCAATCTCTGAGTACAATGGGACAATGTTTAAAAGCAATTCAGTAAACTTTCAGCATAATGCTTCATAAATTTTTTCTTTCAAATAACTTACTGGATATTCCTTTAAATGCTAACAAAAAAAGAACTTCTAATTGCTATCTTGACAACTTCTGCATGCAGTATTCAGTGTTCGGCTCCATTGTGACATTTGGTGCAATGATAGGCGCTATTACAATTGGGCCCATCACTGATTTTCTTGGTCGAAAAGGGGTACAATTGCGAAACTATGTTGAATATACAGGACACACCGGTTATTAAGAACTTTTAGCAGTAATTTAAATCTGTTTCCATTGATATCACCATGTAACAATATCTATACTGCAAAATTGTATGCAGGCCTTGAGAGTGTCTTGTGCTTTCTGTGTTGCAGGTTGGCTTGCTATTTACTTTTCCAAGGTTCGTATGATTTTGCACTTAAATTTTTGTCTGTGCTTTTAGATACTATGCAAATGTTCTCCTCAGATATTTGACTTTAGTCATGTTCTCTATCTTATTGCTACTGAAGGGGGCTTTGTCTTTGGACATTGGGAGACTGGCAACTGGATACGGAATGGGAGCCTTTTCGTACGTGGTAAGTTCTTTACCATCCTCTAGAGCCCTGGTATTACAAATACATGTTATTAACAAAGATTAATGCAATATTGGATGGATATCAGGTCCCTGTTTTCATAGCTGAAATTGCACCCAAAAATCTTCGAGGAAGATTAACTGCTATAAATCAGGTAAACATGTAACAAGAAATGCAATCCTTGCCCCTAGCTAGTAGAATTCTTTTGTGAGTTAGCTTTGATATTTTAAGCAAGAAATTGATGTGGGTTAGTTCAACAACAAACTATATGGGTTTGGATTGGATCATATCTAACTTTGTTTTCTGCTTATTTTATAGTTAATGATCATTTCTGGAGTGTCCATTTCCTTCATAATTGGGGTACTAGTAAGCTGGAGGGCTTTAGCATTAATCGGTGATTTACTTAGAGAGACTGTGCTTTAGAATACTTATCTAATATAGTAGTAGAGTGCTCATTTGTGTGGTGATTGCAGGACTAGTTCCCTGTGCAGTGACCATTTTCGGTCTCTTTTTCATTCCTGAGTCTCCAAGATGGTTGGTAAGAACTACTTTTCTTTTTCTTTTTGTAGTTATATAATGGCAACATTCAACAAGTTGATGACTTCCTCATCAATTCAGGCGAAAACAGGACGCCAGAGAGAGTTTGAAATGGCACTGCAGAAACTTCGTGGCAAAGATGCTGACATATCTCATGAAGCAGCAGAAATACAGGTTCTTATTTTCAACTCCTCAACTCCATCTCCTAGCCTACATTGACAATCTCTTGGAGCATCAGGATGATCATATATGTTATGGAATAACCTGTAAATACCTTGATAGGATTATATCCTAACTCTTGACCGGCTCCCTAAAGCCAAATTGCTGGATTTGTTTCAAAGGAGATACTTGCGCTCAGTCATGGTAAGAGCTTCTTTCTACACCGTTTGTACTGTCAGTTTTTTCTTTTTTCTTTCTTTGCCTTTCTGGTTAGACCTTTCTTTGCTATTAATCTTTGTTTGATCAGATTGCAGTTGGGTTGATGGTCTTTCAACAATTGGGGGGAATCAATGGGGTCTGTTTCTATGTCAGCAATATCTTTGAACAAGCAGGTAGAAAGAAAGAATAGCTTGGCATTCTGGCACTCCTACAATCTATGTTTTCAGTATCTGCAACTTTAATGTACCTTTTTGTATCTACTTCAGGATTTTCTTCCAGTGTTGGAACTATAACTTACGCTATTCTTCAGGTTCGAAATCCTACTGTGACAGCTATTGGAATCTTTTAATTTTTATCCACTAAAGCATCTTGATGTGGTTCTGCTTTACAGGTTGTGGTTACTGCCGTTGCTGCATCCGTAATGGATAAAGCAGGACGAAAGCCTCTAATTTTGGTAAATTGGTGCACAGCTTTTGTTCTGAGAATTTGCTGAGACAAGTTGCTATTCACATTCAGAAGGTTTAACTTTTTCCAATTTATTCTAGGTGTCTGCGTCAGGGCTGGTACTTGGCTCTCTCCTGACTGCGATTTCATTCTTTCTGAAGGTAATCCTCAATCAGTGACACCCTAACGTCTCTCTGTTTAGGTTTATCCAACATAACATGACGACAAGCTCTTTGTGAACCAGGTTCATGAATTGGCACTCACGGCAACTCCCATACTTGCTGTAACTGGCATACTGGTAACTAACGAGCCTTATCAAAATATATTACCCACGCAGATCGTTCTCTTTTAACATTGAGTTTCCATTTTTTCTCATATATTTCTTTAACAATTTGTTTCTGGATTCAGATATATATAGGATCCTTCTCAATAGGAATGGGAGCAGTTCCTTGGATTGTGATGTCTGAGGTATATAAAATTTGCAACATTTACTCATCTAACCGTCCGTAATCGATCATGTCACCGATCTGAATAAATTTCCATCTGCTGCAGATATTCCCTATAAATATTAAAGGGCAGGCTGGAAGCTTTTCAACTTTAGTGAACTGGCTGGGTGCATGGTTGTGTTCCTACACCTTCAACTTTCTTATGAGTTGGAGCTCCTATGGTAAATACCTTTTCCTTTTCTCATTATAAAAACTAGAGAGTAATATTTAGTAGAGTTAATTTATAAAGCAATCTGATTATACATGGTAATAACTCATTACATGTCTCTATTTTCAGGTACCTTCATTCTGTATGCAGCCATCAATGCTCTGGCTATATTGTTCGTGATCTTGATGGTACCAGAAACGAAAGGGAAAACCCTGGAACAAATCCAAGGAGACATTAATAAATAGAGAATTGAAGGAAGAATTAAAAAAAAAAAAAATGAAGAGCATTTTTTTGTGGTCATTCGTTGTCGTTGAAAATTTTGACAGCACAGTGCAGCAGATTGGTTGATGGAATCTTGAGAGACGCTTTCAAACCACACAAATATTGTACTGCTACTGTTTACCCCACAAAAACATTGTCCCTACTTCCTTTTCATTTGTTGCTATGACTTTTGACATTGATTGGTGTATTTATTTTGCTTTTGTTTTGCCCCATGGGAGAGCTGAGGGTATTGCAGAATTAGAAAGGAACAGAAGAGCAAAAATATCAATGGAATTGTTAAAAAGCTTGGATTTTCTAATTTGGAAAATAATTGTCCACCTTCCTTATGAAAAGGAAGAAATTATAATATGAACCTATACTGGCAGCCACTTCGACCAGACCTACATCCTTCCTTATCTCCTCCGTCGGATCTTGAAATTATAATATGAACTTATACCATATACGACAAAGTTATTCTAAACGGCCTGTCTCTTTTACTGTTCTGATGTTGACATGTTGTGATGTTACTGCCTGCCTTGGCGTTGGCGGCTTTGCAACTGGTGGCAAACATAAAAGCAAGTCAAGTTAGAAAGAACTACTTTGAGCACAACAAAACAATTGCCGGCATTTAGCATTTTGTTGATTTTTTTAATTCAACAAGGTACTGTCTCATTAACAGGCAAGTGCAGATCAATCAAACCTTCAGAAATTCAAAAAAGAATAAAGAAAACAAAAAAAGAAAAGATACTTCCGTACAAAAAAACATTTACATCCCTTCTGGCATATTGCTCTCACTATTTTTTTGCCTATAAGAAGAGGATAGAGATTTCTTGATTTCCATTATTTGATAGTTTTTGGCCTACACTACCCATCTCTTTGATTCTTCTTCTCTTTGCCATTTATAGAAGTTCATAGGTACAGTGGGAGTTATATAATCAGGCAGGCATGGCCATCAAAGAGGATGTAGAGAGTGATCTGCAGGAGGGCATAAGAGCTCCACTGATGAGGGTAGAGAATAACTTGGCTGATGGAGGAAGCAGCATAGGAGGGAATCCATGGATGGTTTACCTCAGCACATTTGTTGCAGTTTGTGGCTCTTATGAATTTGGATGCTGTGTAAGTGTTTATAGTTTTTTAACTGATACAGAAAAACCATTGTGATCTCTGGACAGGCAAATTCTGAAACTTTTGTATGGCTTCCAGGCCGGTTATTCGTCGCCTACTCAGTCTGCCATCAGGGAAGATCTCAGTTTATCATTAGCAGAGGTATGGAAATTAGATCATCTATAACTGTTCTATTAATATTTCTATATGAGCTGTTCTTTGGACATATAATAAGTTAATGAGTAGAAATCTATATTTGTTCTACTGTATGACTGAGGGTTTGCATTCTCTGCTGTGCCATTGCTTTCAATCTCTGAGGTGCTATCAGTGTAATTTCAGCATGCTTTAGCAAATTTTCTTTCAACTGATTCGCTGGATGTTCCTTTAAATGCTAAAGGAAAACAGTTTTTTACTTTGATCTTGACAACTTTCAAACTGAAGTTTCTTCTCTCTTCCTGTGCATCTGTATTCTTTATGCAGTATTCAGTGTTTGGCTCCATTTTGACGTTTGGTGCAATGATAGGTGCTATCACAATTGGTCCCATCACTGATCTTCTTGGTCGAAAAGGGGTACAAACTGCGAAACGATGTTAATTATACAGGACACACTGCTTATTCAGAAATTTTAGCTGTAAATTAATTCTGTTTCCGTTAATATTTACTAAGAGAATCTTCACTGTAAACTTGTATGCAGGCATTGAGAGTGTCGAGTGCTTTCTGTGTTGCAGGTTGGCTTGCTATTTACTTTTCCAAGGTTTGTATTATTTTATGCTTGGGATTTCTCGGCGCTTATACCTACTAAGCAAATATTTTCCTCAGATATATATATTTGCCTAATTCCTGTTCTGCATCTTATTACTTTTGAAGGAGGCTTGGTCTCTGGACATTGGCAGACTGGCAAACGGATACGGAATGGGAGCCTTTTCATACGTGGTTAGCTCTTACCCTCCTTTATAACTTGAGTGTATGTTGAGACCACAAAATACATACAAGTACCTGTTTCAACACATGTTAATAACAAAGTTTGATGCAATATTGGGTGGATGAAGGTGCCTGTTTTCATAGCTGAAATTGCTCCAAAAAATCTTCGAGGAAGACTAACTGCTATAAATCAGGTAAACCTGTAACAAGAAATGCAATCCTTGAAGCTTACTACTAACAACTAACAATCTTTTGCGACTTGCCTTTGATACTTTTTAGCAAGCAAAAACAGATTACTTCAACAACAAACTATATGGATTTGGATCATATCTAACTTTGTTATTCATTCTGCAGTTAATGATCTGCTGTGGAGTGTCTGTTTCCTTCATTCTTGGGGTACTAGTTAGTTGGAGGGCTTTAGCATTAATTGGTGATTACTTAGACAAACTGTGCTTGTAGTTTGAGATTTAAAATAGACAATAATATCCCATACAATAGCAGAGGGCTCATTTGTGTGGTGACTGCAGGACTTATTCCCTGTGCTGTGAACATTTTCGGTCTCTTTTTCATTCCTGAGTCTCCAAGATGGCTGGTAAGGAACTACTTTTATTTAATTGTTTCTACTGAGTTGATGGTAACATTCAACAAAATAAAGACATTATGATCTCCTCATGAATGCAGGCAAAGAAAGGACGCCATAAAGAGTTCAAAGTTGCACTGCAGAAACTTCGTGGGAAAGATGCTGACGTATCTCATGAAGCAGAAGAAATCCAGGTTCTTATCTCCGATTCCTGAACTCCTCTGAGCCCACATTGATGATTTCTTAGAGCATTTGTAAGATCAGATATGTTAAGACATACCATGTAAATACTTTGACAGGATTATATAGAAACTCTTGATCGGCTTCCTAAAGCCAAATTGCTGGATTTGTTTCAAAGGAGATACTCACGCTCAGTCATTGTAATAGTTTCTCTCTACCATTTCCACAGTCAGTTTTACATTTCTTAGTCTTTGAGTTAACTTTCCGTTGATATTACACCTTTGTTTGATCAGATTGGAGTTGGGCTGATGGTCTGTCAACAATTTGGAGGAATCAACGGCGTCTGTTTCTATGTCAGCGATATTTTTGATCAAGCCGGTACAAAATAAAGAATAGCTTGGCATTCTGACACTATTATAATCTATGTTTTCAGTATCTAACGACAACTACAGTGCACCTTTCTGTATCTTGCTCTACAATTGAAATATAAATGTTCTATCTCAGGATTTTCTTCCAGCATTGGAACTATAACCTATGCTATTCTTCAGGTTCTATACTCCTACTGTGACATCTCTTGGAATCTCTTAATCTTGTCCATTAGATGCATCCTAAAGTGGTTCTGTTTTACAGGTTGTGGTTACTGGCATTGGTGCAGCAGTAATGGATAAAGCTGGAAGAAAACCTCTAATTTTGGTAAACTAGTGCACAGACTTTAGTTCTGAGAATCTGCTGAGACAAATTCCCATTTATATTCACAAGGTTTAACTTTTTCCAATTTCTTTTCTAGGTTTCTGCATCAGGGGTGGTACTTGGCTGTCTTTTGACTGCAGTTTCATTCTTTCTGAAGGTGATCCCTCAATTTTTGACCCTAACTTCTCTTTGTCTAGGTTTATTATCCAACAATAATCTGAAAAAATCTCTGGGTGAACCAGGTTCATGAACTGGCACTCACAGCAACTCCCATACTTGCTGTAACCGGCATACTGGTAATGCATTAGCCTTGTCGAAACATTATCCATGCTTCTCGATCTCTCTTAGCATCAAATTTTCATTTATTCTCCTTGCATCGTTTAACAACTGGTTTCTGGATTCAGGTCTATATAGGATCCTTTTCAATTGGAATGGGAGCAGTGCCTTGGGTTGTGATGTCTGAGGTACATAAAATTGCAACATTTACTCGTCTAACAGTCCATAATGGATCATGTCGTCGACGTAAACAAATTTTCATCTGCTGCAGATATTCCCTATAAATATTAAAGGGCAGGCTGGAAGCTTAGCAACGTTAGTGAACTGGTTTGGTGCATGGTTGTGTTCCTACACTTTCAACTATCTTATGAGTTGGAGCTCCTATGGTAAATACCTTTTCCTTTGTTATTGTAAGAACTGAATAGTAAAATTGGAAAGCAATCTGATTATACATGGTAATAACTAGTTATATGTCTCTAATTTCAGGTACCTTCATTCTGTATGCAGCAATCAATGCTCTGGCTATATTGTTTGTGATTTTGATGGTACCTGAAACAAAGGGGAGAACCCTGGAACAAATCCAAGGAGCCATTAACAAATAGAGAATTCAAGCAAGAATTAAATATAAAAAAAATAATAATAAGAGCATTATTTGTGGTAATTCTCATTGAAAATTTTGACAGCTCAATTCAGCAACTAGGTAGATGGAATCTTCGAAGATGCTTCAAAACCACAAGAATATTGCACTGCTTTTCTTTTTTCTTTTTTCTTTTTTAATAAAAAAATAGTTTAAATTATTCGTACCTTTGTGTTTTATTTGTTGCAAGGAATGTATTAAAAATATGTTTATTTTTTTTAAGAAAAAAAAGGGCAAAATATTGTCGGGAACAAAATTCGCAGGGAAAGGTAACAAAAGCTTATAAATCGGGAAATGATGGACAATGCTGATTTCCAATTGACACCAACTGGTCGTCTTCTAGATAAGTAAATGAATTTGTCTGTATCAAAAGGAAATGATGGACAAGGAGGCATTGATCAAATCAAAACATATTATCGTAGAGGTATTGACCATTCATTTTTTTGCTCCTTTTACTAGTTTTATGTGCGAGAGCACACAGATAGCATACTGGGCATGTTTTGATTCAAATCCTTTCTTTTGTCACACAACCTGTAGAGAGAAGGCTTGCACTGATAGGAAGCACTCCCATCTGGAAAAAAGCTCTAACCGTTGCAATGTTAATAATAGAATGAACATCTTCCTTTTATTTTACTTGTTGTGGTGTGATGTCCACAAGTTATAAGGCTGATAGTTTACTTGTTTGTGATTTTCAGGAATGTTCATTCTGTATGCAGCATTCTTTGAGGTATTTCTCATTGAAAACTTTGACAGCTCAAGCCTGCAACTTGTTAGATGGAATCCCGGTAGATGCTTCAAAACCGCAAGAATTTTGTATTACTATTTTTAGGATGGTTTCGTCCAATTTTTTTATTTTATTTTAGGATGGTTAAATTCATTCATGCCATAAATAAGTGTTTCATTTGTTGCAAGGAATGTTTGCCATACATGACAATAACCAACAAATGGAGATCACTTCTACAAGCATTGTGATAAAAAGCCTTGAGAAGAAGTATAATCTGAATTAATACATAGCATTCTGAAATACAAGGCTCGAATTCGATCAAGCCACAATACATTTGGTGCTCATTTACAATCTAACAACATAACAGGCTAAATGTTTGATTAGAGTTTATACGGTCATTTTACATAGTTTTTGAACCTAACTATTCGCCAAGCCATCACAATTCAGCTATCATGCAGAGACAGCATAATGAAAACGGATAGAAATGTTACAATGCCTGGATTTTCATTTCTGATTTAAGTTAAAAAAAGGAAAGAAAAAAAAGGATTATTATAAGCCTATATTGGCTGCATCTTTGGACAATAACTGCCGACCGAAGTCCTTCCTGTCTCGTCTCTCGGATTAGGGTCTTCTTTTTTATTTTTGTAGTGATTGACTTTTAATCTAAGCCTACTATAATACAAATCCTATAATTACTCCTCAAAATCTTCAAAGACAGAGAAGAAACCGATTGCTTGTGTCGTTTCCCAATTCTGTCAATACGTTTATGTGAAAGTGAGAGCATGTCATGCAAACGACAACGATTTATTCAATACGGCATATTACAATATATTGTCCTGTTTTACTGGACTGATGCTGCGATGCACTGCCTTGCGTTGTCAGCAAATATACAATCCGTAGCAATCTTGAGCAAGTCAAGTTTTAACCAATTGAGCACGAGAATTGCCTACTTTTGAGCTCCTTTGTTACAAATCCTAAGAAAAAAGGAAAAAACAATGACCGCAAAGAGGCAGCATTGAGGTTTTAAAATAATAATTTTATCGAAAATTTACCACCCTTCTGGCATATTGTGCTCTCTATGTTTGCCTTCCATTATATCATATTTTCTTGCTTAAAGTACCCATCTGTTCGAATCGTCTTCTCTTTGCAATTTATACAGATTCATAGACATACAGGGGAGTTATATATAATCAGGCAGACATGGCCGCCATCAAAGAGTATGCAAAGAAAGACGTGCAGGATGAGATAAGAGAGCCATTGGTGAGGGTGGATAGTAACTTGGGTGCTGGAGATGGATCAAGTCATGGAAGCACCAAAGGGGATCAATGGATGGTTTACCTCAGCACATTCGTTGCAGTTTGTGGCTCTTATGAATTTGGATGTGGTGTAAGTGCTTAGTATGCATTTAGCTTTTGATTGGCAGAGCAGAAAATTTGTGATCTTTGGACCGAAAATTTCGTTCGATATTGTGTTGTTCTGACACTCTTTGTATGGCTTCCAGGTGGGTTATTCATCACCTACTCAGTCTGCCATCAGGAAAGATCTCAATTTATCATTAGCAGAGGTATGAAGGTGACTAGGACACCTATAACAATATTACTAACACAGCTATTTTAATGGATATGCAAATGCATGCATGGTATTAGGGTGGACTTTTAGATTCAAGAAAACAAAAACAAGATATAAAACTAATTCCTGAAATGAATTAGAGGTTGAAAATAAAATGGGAGAATACTACCAAGGAATTTGGTAAACATTCCGCATAATAATTTTGCTGGATTTTGTTTAAATGCTAAAGAACAACTAAAGTTTTTTTTTTCCTCTCCTGTGCATTTGTGTGCAGTATTCAATGTTTGGCTCCATTTTGACATTTGGTGCAATGATAGGTGCCATCACAATTGGCCCCATCACAGATTTTCTTGGTCGAAAAGGGGTATGATTTGAGAAACTATGTTTTATAGGACACGCCTTAATTGTGTTCATTGATACATTCACTAACAGTATCTAAACTGTAAACTTGTATGCAGGCCCTGAGAATGTCCTGTGTTTTTTGTGTTGCAGGTTGGCTTGCTATTTACTTTTCCAAGGTTCGTATTAACTGTACTTTCGAAATTTCTCTGTGGTTTTTACCTACTAAGCAAATACTCTCATATATGTAACCATATTCATGTTCTACTGAAGGGGGCTTTGTCTCTGGACATTGGGAGACTGGCAACAGGGTACGGTAGCGGTGCCTTTTCATACATTGTGAGTTATTACCCTCCTCTAAAATTTGAATATTTTGTGAGACCAAAATATAGTGGAAGTACCTTATATATGATATTTCAAGTTTTAACATATGTTATTAACCAAGTTTGATGCAATATTGGGCGGATGATAAGGTACCTGTTTTCATAGCTGAAATTGCACCTAAAAATCTTCGAGGAAGACTAACTGCTATAAACCAGGTAAACATGTAATCAGAAATGCAATCCTTGAAGCTAACTGGCAACAATCTCTATACCTTATGGGTTTTGATCATAACTAACTTTGCCTTTTGCTTATTATATAGTTAATGATCGTTACCGGAGTGTCTGTCTCCTTCATAATTGGGGTAGTAGTCAGTTGGAGGGCTTTAGCAATAATCGGTGAATTTCTTAGACAACCTGTGCTTTTAATTAGAACACCCTATGATCTCTAATACAGTGGTGGAGGCTCATCTGTGTGGTGATTGCAGGAATTGTTCCCTGCGCTGTGATCATTTTCGGTCTCTTTTTCATTCCTGAGTCTCCAAGATGGTTGGTAAGAAAGTACTTCTGTGTGCTGTGAACATTTTCGGTCTCTTTTTCATTCCTGAGTCTCCAAGATGGTTGGTAAGAAAGTACTTCTGTGTGCTGTGAACATTTTCGGTCTCTTTTTCATTCCTGAGTCTCCAAGATGGTTGGTAAGAAAGTACTTCTGTGTGCTGTGAACATTTTCGGTCTCTTTTTCATTCCTGAGTCTCCAAGATGGTTGGTAAGAAAGTACTTCTGTGTGCTGTGAACATTTTCGGTCTCTTTTTCATTCCTGAGTCTCCAAGATGGTTGGTAAGAAAGTACTTCTGTGTGCTGTGAACATTTTCGGTCTCTTTTTCATTCCTGAGTCTCCAAGATGGTTGGTAAGAAAGTACTTCTGTGTGCTGTGAACATTTTCGGTCTCTTTTTCATTCCTGAGTCTCCAAGATGGTTGGTAAGAAAGTACTTCTGTGTGCTGTGAACATTTTCGGTCTCTTTTTCATTCCTGAGTCTCCAAGATGGTTGGTAAGAAAGTACTTCTGTGTGCTGTGAACATTTTCGGTCTCTTTTTCATTCCTGAGTCTCCAAGATGGTTGGTAAGAAAGTACTTCTGTGTGCTGTGAACATTTTCGGTCTCTTTTTCATTCCTGAGTCTCCAAGATGGTTGGTAAGAAAGTACTTCTGTGTGCTGTGAACATTTTCGGTCTCTTTTTCATTCCTGAGTCTCCAAGATGGTTGGTAAGAAAGTACTTCTGTGTGCTGTGAACATTTTCGGTCTCTTTTTCATTCCTGAGTCTCCAAGATGGTTGGTAAGAAAGTACTTCTGTGTGCTGTGAACATTTTCGGTCTCTTTTTCATTCCTGAGTCTCCAAGATGGTTGGTAAGAAAGTACTTCTGTGTGCTGTGAACATTTTCGGTCTCTTTTTCATTCCTGAGTCTCCAAGATGGTTGGTAAGAAAGTACTTCTGTTCTTTTTCTGTTTATCTGATGGTAACATTCAATAAAATGAAGACAGATTATGACTCATCATCGGTGCAGGCAAAGACAGGACGCCAGAGAGATTTTGAAGTTGCACTGCAGAAACTTCGTGGCAAAGATGCTGACGTATCTCGCGAAGCAGCAGAAATCCAGGTTCTTATCTTCAACTTCTTAACTCATTTCCTATCCCACATCGATAATCTGATAGAGCATTTCGAAGATCATATGCGTAAAGGCATTTCATTTACTACCTTGACAGGAATATATAGCCTCTCTTGACCTGCTCCCTCAAGCCAAATTGCTGGATTTGTTTCAAAGAAGATACTTGCGCTCGGTCATTGTAATAACTTCTCTCTACACTATTTATTTGTACAGTCAGTTTTATCTCTCTTTCACTTTGAGTTAAACTTTCCTTATCAGATTGCAGTTGGGTTGATGGTCTGTCAACAATTGGGGGGAATCAATGGGGTCTGTTTCTATGTCAGCAATATTTTTGAGCAAGCAGGTATAAAACCTACTAACTGAAAGAATAGCTTGACCATCTGACACTACTAGTCTATAATCTATGTTTCTAATATCTACAACTTCAGTGTATCTGTCTCTATCTCTTCCATCTTCCTGTCAGAAAACTGAATCACTCACTTAAAGCAGACTTGTTATACAATTGAAAGCTAACTACTCTATTTTTTGAACTATCTCAGGCTTTTCTCCCAGACTTGGAACTATAACCTATGCTATTCTTCAGGTTCTAAATTCCTACTGTGACAGCTCTTGGAATCTTTTAATTTCTCCCCATTAAGTTCATGTGGTTTTGTTTCACAGGTTGTGGTTACTGGCCTTGGCGCAGCCGTAATGGATAAAGCGGGAAGAAAGCCTCTAATTTTGGTAAACTAGTGCACGCTTTTAGTTCCAAGAATCTTCTGAGATAAACTCCTATTCATACTCGGGAAGTATAACTTTTTCCAATTTATTCCAGGCTTCTGCATCAGGGTTGGTACTTGGCTGCGTCCTCATTGCCACTTCATTCTTTCTCAAGGTAATCGTCAAATGCTGACCCTAATATCTGTTTAGGTTTAGGTTTCTCCAACAAAAGATAAAAAGAGAGCCTTTGTGAAACAGGTTCATGGATTGGCACTCAAGGCATCTCCCATCTTTGCGGTAGCCGGAATATTGGTTAGTAACTAATTAGCCTTTCTCAAAGCATACTCTCCATGCAGATCAGTTTCTTTTAAAATCGACTTTTCGTGTCTTTTCTCTTTTCATTCTATAGTTAACAATTCATTTCTGCATTCAGATCTTTATAGGATCCTTTTCAGTAGGAATGGGAGCAGTTCCTTGGGTTCTGATGTCGGAGGTATACAAAATCTGCTAGGTTTACTCATTTTATCCATCATGATTGTCTTGATCAAGTCACCAATCTAAAGAAAAATTATATCCTCCGCAGATATTCCCTATAAACATTAAAGGACAGGCTGGAAGCTTAACAACGTTAGTGAACTGGCTTGGTGCATGGTTGTGTTCCTACACTTTCAACTTTCTTATGAGTTGGAGCTCCTACGGTAAATAGACATCATCATTTTCTTCACTTATAAATAGAAATATTTAGCAGAGTAAACTTATTAAGCAAACAACTCTTCTATTTTGTGAAAGCTAAGTCCAAGTAATTTATAAGTTTACCAGTTATAAGAGCTATTCATTAATTTCCTTGTGTGTCATTTTCAGGTACCTTCATTCTCTATGCAGTAGTAAATGTTCTGTCTGTGTTGTTCGTGATTGTGATAGTACCTGAAACAAAAGGGAAAACCCTGGAACAAATCCAAGGGGCCATTAACAAATAGATGATTAAGGAAGAACAAGAGAAGACATGAAGAGCACTCTTTGTGGATATTTCTCATTGAAAATTTTGACAGCACAAACCAGGAACCTGGTACAAGGAAGAGGCTTCCACACCAGAAGAATTTTGTACTGTTATTTTTACATATAATTAAATTGATACATGCCAGAATTAGTGTTTATACAAACCTAAACAAGGACCAACTAATACTTGGATTTAAGGTGAAAGTTTTTGTTTTTGTTTTTATTAAAGGTGAAAAGTGGGTTTCTCACTAACACACTATCAAAGTGCCATGGGATTTTGAACGTGAGACCACTAGTCTGCAAGTCAATGTCATTTTTCACTGGGCTAGATTGTTGACAAAGGTGAAAGTTAAGTACCCAAATGCATTATGCTTTTTATTTAAAAGCAAAAGCCAATTGTATGAGTTAGCCAATATATTGTGTTAGTTTGCATATTTTACAACTTGTCTATTAGACCATCTCCAACCATGTTGGGGCTAAACTCAAATTTTCACCCTTCAAAATACAACTATTCATGTATTTTCAGGACTCAAAATTTTTTTTCCTCCAACCTTGTAGACTCATAATTTGAGTCCGCAATTTTATTAAATTGTTTAAGAATGATTAACCCCTAAATTTTGTTTCTTGTTAATTTTTCTTGACATTATTTTTGTTTCAACACTCGTGATTTAATTTTCTAAACATTTTAACCTAAAAAAAATAAAATTCCAAAACATAATTGAATTTCACTTAAAAAATAAAAATAAGTACAATATCATACGTATGCCCGGAATAATTCGAACTCTTCATTGAATTATGTAAGTGTGTTTAAATTATCTAAGCATTTTTAAATAAACGACAATCATTAAATTTTGCCGTTGAGATTGCTTAAAATTAATCATGATTATTGATTACAAATATAGTTGTTGGAATATTTAAAATAATTTTTTTTTTAAAAAAAAAACAAACAAACAAACCAGCAATATCAGATTTTTAATTGGGCTACTTGATTGCAACGTCTCTTTCTCCAGATGCTGCCACTTGTGACTCAGCAAAAGTGCAAGCACATGGGCTTCAGTCAGAAAAATAAAAATAAAAAAAAGCATATTTTGAGCCCACAAAATTATCAGTCTAGGCAAAAATGGGACTGGAATTCCACCCAAGATTTGAGATTTCTCAAATTTCCACCCCCCAAAATACATGGGTTGAAGATGGTTTTTGGAGGCTAAACTCAAAATTTGAGTTTCCACCCCAAGGGTTGGAGATGGTCTTATAGGCTTGGGTTTCCGGAACATCATAATTCTCGGGCTCAGTACTCTTCGGGCCAAAATAAAAAATAAAAACCCAATTTCTCGGAACTTGAAGAATAAGAGATGACGATTTTAGGCCTGCGATTTGGGGCCAACCTGTTATCGACTAAAACCAAAACCCCCAAATGTATTCGACCAAAAACGAAATCCCTAAACCTAGTTCTTCACAAGTCGTCGCTAGCCATTTTACCTCTGTCAGATTAGTAGCAAGAGGGGAAAATGCACTACCATGCTCCCAATTTGTCCAATACAAGGTAACCGCTGGCTTCTACTCTAGGTTAAGTGCGCATTTTATATTTCCCAGATATATCTAAGTGGTTTAATAATTGTTATCTCTTTATTATTTTCCACAGATCTAACTTGTAGAAAATCAAGATTT